TGCGATGAAGCCCCAGGTTTTGACACTTGACTGTCAACTGAAGGATTTGCATTCACTTTATGAAGTAAAGTGTGATGCCTACTATTGCACGTTGTGCATGAAAAATTACTTTTACACTCCTTTACCGAATGGCCTCTTGAAAGGCAATTGATGCAGCAGTTATGTGTTTTGACTGTGGCATATCGATTACTAACAGAAAGGCTTATAAATTTTTTGCAAAGTCGCAGAACATGTTGTTGCTTTGGTCATAAAATACATTGTGTTGCAGACGATATGTTGGTAGCGTGTGAAAATTTCTTCTGCCCCGATGGGTTCTGATGTTGTTGCGCTGTCCGTTGTTGTTGGAATGCATATGTTGACGTTGAAGGTGACGATGGACATCTAACATCGGTGATTGATTCCAAAGTCCGCTGCTGCTAAACACCCATTGATGCTCCTTTGGATATTTTTTAATGCCGATGCGCTCTCAGTACGAATGACTGGTAAAGCAAACAACAACTTAAGTTGACCATTGACTAACACACGTTTATTTTCAAAGGTGGCTTTGAGATTGGCCCATGCCAAATCAAAGCCTTGATTGGTTAGCGGAGATTTGCTAACTATTTCTTTGGCTTCCCCACTTGTTTTTCGAAGCAAGTGAAATAATTTCTCTACATTACTTAAACGCGTGTTACTAAAGTATATTGCGGTGAAAAGATCGCGAAATGTTGGCCAAGATGAATAATCGCCCCTAAAAACTTCCGTATCGCAAGGTGGTAGTTGCAAATTATTTGCAGAAATGGCTGCTTGGGAAGGATAGTGTGGAGGTGAAAGTGAAGGGCCACTGAATTTTCGCATACACTCTGTAATGCAACTTTTACAAGAGAGATAGTCTTTAAAAGTGGCCGAATACTTGGCTTTTACTGCCTCTACCTCATCTTCTGCTTTTAATGACTGCAAACATTGCTCAAATGCAGCTTTAGCTTTGCCCCACAGCTCGGTGAGCTCCTCGTTCATGATCTCCAATGAGACTTTGGAGTGTTCGCTAAGAGTAGTTGCGTCGAAGTTCGCATTAAATTCAACGACTTGATCCGAACACCTAGTAATAAATTCAAAGCTGACATTTTCATTTCTGTTCTTTCCGCAACGAACTACGAACTTACAAGCTCAATAATCAAAAATAAATTTGAATAACGGTTCCTAGAAAATGGCAGTATTCCGCGGCACAAATTAAGTAATTTCACCAATAAATATAAGTATTTAATTTTTTGATTGACTGTCAACCTGTGCGGACGTGTTTTTTAATCGCTCCGCCGAGAAATTATTAATAATTCACGTAAAGCAAAGAAAAAAAAAACAGAACCAACGCGAAAAGACAATACTAGGCATAAATAAGCTTTCTGCTTATTTGCCTATAATTATAAATTACTTTCTCAGAATTTTCGCAATGCCGCGAGAAATTCAAATAAATGTGCCAACATACAATAAACTAAAAGCGCTTACCGAATAGTAGTGAAACAAGCACCAAGTGCAGTGAAATAAACCTTGCCGTAACAGAAGCTGACCAAAAGCATTCAGCTGATCGACGAAATGCTTACTTTTCGTTCGTTTCCCCCACAAACAATGCTGATCGCGATAAATCGTTCTCTCCCTCCCCCCAAACACCTTGGCATGCACAGTCGCCAATGTCTCTGGTAGACCAAGTTGTTCTAACACAACAACAAAGCACTAGCTTAGCAACAAGCACAGTAACAACGGTGAGCGCAGCTCTCACAACAACGACTACAACCACGACTTCAGCAATGACAGCGGTTTCACAACGCAGTTCACCCACACCTGCACAAACGGAAATTTCGGCACCAGCCCAAGCCAAGCAACGCAGCTCAGCGCAAGTTGACCTACTTAATCCAACAACCCGTACATTGACTCAAACGGGTATTGATAGGTATATACAAGTCAAACGAAAATTAAGCCCACAGCAGCAAAAAATTGCAAACCCATCAAAAACTGCAAAAACGAAAACCACTGACATTAACCCTCTACTGGGAAATAAGTTTGCGATTCTGGACAATGAATGTGACAAAGAGCCGAATGAAGTTTCTAAAGCCAAACCCAAACCGCCCCCAATTTATTTACGAGAGCAAAACTTTAGTGAGCTCGTGAATAAATTAACTCAGCTTATTGGAGACAATACGTTCCACGTAACATCAGTTACCAAGGGCAATATTAAAGAGACCAAACTTCAGATTCTAACTGAAGAAAATTACCGGTTGGTAACCAAACACCTTAATGAAGATAAGAAAAACTTCTATACGTACCAGCTCAAAAGCAGCAAAGGACTGCAAGTAGTAATAAAAGGTATAGAATCAAGTGTACCCATTGCTGATATTGCTCATGCTCTAGAGAAGGCAGGATTTTCTGTTAAAAATGTTGTCAATATTATCAACAGAGCAAAAATCGCTCAGCCTATGTTTAAGGTAGAACTTAAACCAGAAACAAAGCCAATGAATAAAAACGCAGTTCACCCAATCTACAATCTACGATACCTTCTACACCGAAGAATAACAGTGGAGGAGCCGCAGAAGCGAAACGGTCCCATACAGTGCACAACTTATCAAGAATTTGGGCACACCAGAACATACTGTACCATGTGCCCAGTGTGTGTTGCCTGTGGCGACCTTCACGCTTCCGCTTCTTGCAAGGCTATCAAAGATCATGTGGCTGTAAAGAAATGCACTAATTGCGAAGGTAACCAAACCGCCAATTATAGGGGATGCCCTGTATACAAAGACTTAAAGTCTCGCATGAATCAGCGCAATACAGCCGTACGCTCTTCCACCACTCCAACTAGCTCTTATACATCCCAACACCTCACGCCATCAACCACTACACCAGGAGCCTTTTTTGCCAATGCGCAGCGAGTTCCCAACGTTTCTTTTGCCGACGCGTTAAAACTGCAAACGCAACCAAGCACGGCGAAATCAAACTCCAATCAAGAAACATTTGCAAATATTCAAAGGAATAATGCTGAGCAAATGCAGCCGAACCCCCCTACTTGTGGCATAGAAGGAATGATATTGAATGTTACTCATTGTATGACTCAATTCATGTCTACTATGCAAAATATGATTCAAGACCTCATAAAGGCTCAAAACCAATTGTTGCAAATTTTATTGAATAAAAAATGAGTGCATTGAAAATTTGCTTATGGAATGCTAACGGTGTAAACCAGCGTAGATTAGAACTCAGTAAATTTCTCACTGAATACAACATAGATGTTATGCTACTGTCCGAGACACATTTAACAAATAAATATAATTTCTCCTTACCTGGACACAAATTCTATGCCACAAATCACCCAGATGGTAAAGCTCATGGAGGCACAGCTGATTAGAAATCGTCTAAAGCACAATATTCTAGAGTCAAAAGCAACAGCCTGTCTGCAAGCAACTACCATATGCTTACGAAACCGCGACCGAGACTTGATTCTATCGGCTATTTATTGCCCACCGCGATTTTTAATTTCTGAAAATGACTTTAAAGATTTCTTTGATAGCCTGGGTAATAGATTCCTGGCAGGAGGCGACTTCAACGCAAAGCATACGTACTGGGGATCACGCCTTATTAACCCAAAAGGGCGGCAGCTATACAATACCATTATAAACAGGCACAATAGACTAGAGGTCACATCTCCTGGTAAACCTACTTACTGGCCTACCGATATAAAGAAGATACCAGACCTAATAGATTTCGCAATTACAAGAAACATATACAGAAATAACATAACAGCAGAAACTCTACCTGAACTATCATCCGATCACTCCCCTATATTGATAAAACTATATGAACAGACCCAAAATATCGAAATAGAGCCTCGTCTAACTTCAAATAACACCAACTGGCTTAAATATAAAAAGTACATCAGTAGTCACCTTAAATTAAACGCTGCACTTAACTGCGAGCGTGATATAGACTCCCTTGTTGAACATTTTAAAGAAACCTTTACTACAGCCGCTTGGCTGGCAACGCCAAATCAAGTCCAAGTACCACCTACGCATACATCAGTTACAAATACCGAAATAGAAAAAATTGTGGCAGAAAAGCGACGCCTAAGAAGACAGTGGCAGAGCCATCGCTCACCAACCTCACAGCTACTGTATAAAGCTGCCAGTAGAAAACTGAAACAAGCACTCAAACATGCAGAGGATCGCAACTTGCAAAGGTACATTAAGAAGCTTTCCCCGAATTCTACTGAAAGATACTCTCTATGGAAATCGCTAAAATACTTCAAACCACCAGTGGCTACAGAAATGCCAATTAGGAACCAATGTGGAACTTGGGCTCGTAGTGAGCAGGAGAGAGCAGAGTGTTTTTCACACCATTTAAAGAATGTGTTTCAGCCAAACTGTCCAACGAACAACTTCAGGCTGCCACGGCTATCCAAAAATACAAATGAGCTATACACATCTAGCAAGACGAACTCTTTAGAAGTAAAAGCTATAGTAAAACAGCTTAATCTAAAGAAATCGCCTGGTGCTGATATTATAACTCCGAAAATGCTAATAGAGCTACCGAATGTTGCACTAGCAATTCTTTCTGACCTTTTCAACGCTATCCTCAAATTCGGTTACTTTCCGAAATCATGGAAAAGGTCGAAGATATTCATGATAGCCAAACCTGGAAAAGACGCAACACAGCCGTCCTCATACAGACCAATTAGCTTACTGCCCTGTCTTTCCAAAGTATTCGAAAAAGTACTCCTATCAAAGATATCTCCCTTTCTCCATGAACGCAATTTAATACCATCACACCAATTTGGCTTCCGAGAAAAACATGGTACAATTGAACAAGTTAATCGAATTACAAATGAAATCAGAAGGGCATTTGAGCTCAGAGACTACTGCTCTGCAATTTTTCTCGATGTGGCACAAGCATTCGACAAAGTGTGGCACGACGGTCTTATATACAAAATTAAGAAATTGTTGCCGCCGGAATTCCACAAAATATTTGAATCATACATAACTAACAGAAAATTTGCTGTTAGAGTATCTAATTTCACTTCAGAAGACATGTCGATAACGGCTGGCGTTCCGCAAGGTAGTGTACTCGGACCTATGCTGTATATCATCTACACTTCAGATATTCCAACTAGCAAGAATATACTCACATCCTTCTTCGCTGATGATGATTAGTAAGTCGTAATAAATGTCCCAACAGAGCTTCAAGAGTACTAGAGGAATATTTACTACGCATAGAAGAATGGCTGGCAAACTGGCGCATAAAAGTCAACGAACAGAAGAGTAAACATACAACATTTTCACTCAGACCGCAAATATGCCCCCCAGTCAAATTAAATAATGTCCATATTCCAAAAAGCCAATGAGGTGACATATCTAGGAATACACTTGGATAGGAGACTAACTTGGCGCAAACACATATCAACCAAGATTACACAAATGAAGCTAAAGTCAGCTAGCGTGAACTGGCTCATAAACAGTAAATCAAAACTGAAACTAGATTATAAAGTACTTGTATATAATACAGTGATTAAGCCTATATGGATGTATGGTATTCAACTCTGGGGTACGACCTGTGCAACCAACATTAACAGGATCCAAAGATTCCAATCTAAAACGCTAAGGGCCTTAACGGGAGCACCGTGGTATGTTCGCAATGAAAATATACATAGAGACCTTGGTATACCGATGGTTAAATTTGTAATCGACAGCAGCAGAGAGAAATACAAAATAAAACTGCGTAACCACCCAAATCCACTGGCAAGTGGCCTGTGCAACACAACAAATATAACACGCCTGCGAAGAAAAGATCTACCAGCCTTTAATTGAGCGACGTTAAACCAACAGGGCTCAACCCCAGCGTTTGAGCTACATTTTTGTAAAATTAGACGTAAGATTTTTAAACTTGTTGTTAGGCTTAATAGATGTAAAATAAGCAGATCCATCAAATAAATACAAGTATAATTAAAAAAAAAAAATTATTTGCTTAATTATGCGCAC